AAAGAAGGTGTTAGGGTGTCCCACGAACTCTCCGATGATCATCGCTTCCAACGTGTGAACGTTGCTTCGTCTCTTCTGGCGCGTAATGCGCGTGAATCATTTTTGGACAGAATTGTCACTGGTGATGAAAAATGGATTCTCTATGCGAATATTAAACGCCAAAACAATTACTCAGTCCAAGACAAAAACCACTTCCGACCCCAAAACCTGGACTCCATCCGCAGAAAGTGCTGCTCTGCATTTGGTGGGACATCAAAGGAGTAATTCATTTCGAACTCCTCAGTCCACAGCGAACTGTAGATTCAGAGATCTATAGTCAGCAACTGGAACGTTTAAATCCAGCCCTTCATCAGAAACGCCCTTCACTCATCAATCGGAAAGGTGTTCTTCCTCTCCACGACAATGCACGTCCACGTGTGGCACGTTTGGCGCAACACAAAATTATGGAGTTGGGTTGGGAAGTTCTCCAGATATGGCACCATCAGATTACCATCTTTTGCGTTCGCTGCAACACCACTTTAATGGGAAAACGTATGCAAATGTGAAAGGTGTTGAAGAGGACATCGACATGTTTTTTGTTTCTAAGTCAAATGATTTTTTTAATCAGGGCATTAACAACCTGATTGTAGGATGGAATAGCATCATCGATAAGAGTAGAGACTAGTTCATTTAATGTTTTGATCTACAAGTTGTTCGGCTTTTTCATCTAAAAGAAAGCAACATTAATTTCTTTTAGCTCATAGCTCCGTATTCTTTTGACTGATATGAGATCTAATTACAGTTTTAGACTCAAGAGGTCAAACCCTTTCGATTGATGTATTTGACCATGCCCAAGGCCTCACAGATGAATTTACTCTAATCCTGCCTAAAATAATTTCAATTTGATGGTAGGCTGGTAGAAATCCTGATTAGTAATAACATCGAATCAGGTATACGCGCCACACGCTTGCTATTGCTGGCGCACAAAAATATAGATCATAAAAAGGGCTAAAAAAAGGTCTCTTAGATTAATTTACTCTAATCCTGCCTAAAAGAATTTCAAGTGCCTCGGATATTGAGGATTCCTCATGTTTCATTATGAAGTGCATTGCCCCCCAGTGACACAGCGGTATGTCTGCGGATTTACAACGCTAGAAACCGGGTTTCGATAC